CAGTTCTGAGGAAGGGTCACCGGACCCGAAACGTTAAGTCTCTTTTCTCCTTCACAGATGCTGCCAGACCTGCTGAGCTTTTTCAGCAACTTTGTTTCTGTTACCATTATCTTGGGCCTAGTGCCATTGAAAAAATTGGGAGAACTCACAGACTCATCAAATAACATCCTGATTCTGTTGATAAGTATGATTTCATAATTATGACCTGATATTGCAAAGGCTATGGGCCCCAACAACGTGGCAACAATCACACTGAAGACTTGGGTTCCAGACTCGCCACTCCCCTAGCCAAACTGTTCCAGTACAGTTACAACATTGGCATCTACCTAACAATATGTAAATTGCCCAGGTATGTCCTGTACACAAAAAGCAAGACAAATCCAACTCAACCAAATTCCGCTCCATCTGTTCACTCCTGATCATCAGTAAAGATATGGAAGGTGTCTTCAACAGCGCTATCAAGCAGCACCTGCTCTGCAATAACTTGCTCAGTGGCACCCATTTTAAGTTGTGCCAGGGCCACTCAGCTCCTAATCCCATTACAGCCTTGGTTCAAATATGGACAACAGAGCTCAATTCCAAAGGTGAGCATGGCATCAAGGAGCCCTTGCATAAATAGAGTAAATGAGAATTGGGGGAAAATTCTCTGATGGTTGGAATCATATCTAGTGCAAAGGAAAATGGTTGTGGTTGCTGAAGGTCTGTCATCTCAGCTCCATGACATATCTGCAGGAGTTCCTTAGGGCAGCTACTTCAAAAATCTTCCTTCCATCATAAGATCGGAACTGAGGACAATAGACAGAATGCCAAAAAGCAACAAGAACTTCAAATATCTATGATGTGGAAGTGCTGATGTTGGATTGGGATTGACGAGGTCAGAAATCACACGACACCCAGGTTATAGTCCAACAGGTTTATTTGAAATCACAAGCTTTCAAAGCCTCGCTCCTTATTCAGGTGTTAGTGAGAGAAGTGGCATCAGCCACAGAATTTATAAGTAAAAGATCAAAAGGTCGACTTGAGTGGTTTCATGATCTATAGTCCTTAGGGATCTTTTGTGCTTTCTTGCATTTCTGTAGAAACCACCAACAGCCAACTCAAAGTGCAGAGGATCTCCAAGATGATCGCACATATCAACACAGACATCAAGTTTCTTTTACTTATAAATTCTGTGTCTGATGCCAATTCTCTCACTAACACCTGAAGGAGAAGCAAGGCTCTGAAAGCTTGTGTTTTGAAATAAACCTGTTGGACTATAACCTGGTGTCGTGTGATTTCTGACCTTGTTCACCCCAGTCCAACACCAGCACCTCCACATCATGGCCACCATCGACATCGCCAACTACCAGCTCAACGTGGAGAGGATCTCCAAGAAGAACATGTATATCGACACAGACATCAAGTTTCTACAGAAATGCAAGAAAGCACAAAAGATCCAAAAAGGACTACAGATCACGAACCCACTCAAGTTGACTATTTGATCTTTTACTTATAAATTCCGTGTCTGATGCCACCTCTCTCACTAACACCTGAAGAAGGAGAGAGGCTCTGAAAGCTTGTGTTTTCAAATATCTAGATATTGACTGCTGTAGAAAAGCTGAGAAATGTCATCCAATGAGACGATTTCTTTCTTACTCAATTTAGCGATCAGTTAACATAGTCAGAGAGGGAATTCTGGATCCAATTATCTGTAATTACCTATTTGTGTTCCATATGATGAAAGTGGAAGAGGATCTAGAATTCAATAACTGTAAGTATCAATAGAATGAAAATACCAATGAGAGTAAAGGCATGTTATTTTAGCTGATATTTTAGTTTGAATTTGAATCAAGGAATCCAAAACTCTTTGTAATTCTTTAAATAATCAGTGGCAAAGATTTCCACAGATTCCCTTTGACAACCTCTAGTGGAAACAGGCTGCAAATGCAGGAATCTGCCCATGTATTTTTACTAATTTTTTATAAGTATCTCCAAAGAGTGAACTACAATTAGAACACTAAATAATTTTGACCAGTCAAAATTTGGTATGAATTACAATGGATTGAATCATTGAATAGTACAGTACAAGAGAGGCCCTTCAACCCATTGAGTCTGTACTGCCAAAAATATACTAATACCTACACTAGGCCCAGAGTCTTGGTTGTTATGACGTGTTCTTCTGAGTACTCTTTAAAAGTGGTGAGGTTTCCTGCGTCAACCACTCTCCCAGACAGTGCATTCCAGATGACCACCACCCTCTGGTTGAAAAAATGTTTCCTTTCACCCCCTCTAAATTTCCTGCCATTCACTTTAAAATCATACCCCCTTGTTATTGATCTTTCAACTAAGGGGAACAGCTGCTTTCTATTTACTGTCTATGCCCCTCATAATCTTATCCACATCTTTCAGGAGCCCCCTCAACCTTCTCTGCTCCAAAGAAATCAATGCGAGCCTATCCAGCCTCTCTTCATCACTGACATGCTCCATCCCAGGCAATGTTCTGGTGAATTTCCTCTGCACCCCGCCCAGTGCAATCACATCCTTCCTATAGCGCAATGACCAGAACTGCACACAGTATTCCAGCTGTGGCCTAACCAAAGTTCTGTAAAGCACTGACATGACCTCCCTGCTCTTATAAACTATGCCATTTCTGAAAGGTAAGCATCCTATACGCCTTCTTAACTGCCTTATTATCTTGTCCTGCCAGCTGCAGGGATCAATGGACAAGCACCTCAATATCCCAATGTTCCTCTGAGCTTCCTAATGCCTTGCAATTCATTGAATACTCCCTTGTCTTGTTCCTTCTTCCAAAGTGTATCACCTCATATTTTGAGGGCTAAGTGCCAATGTGTTACTGATCTGTCCAACTATCCAATCCATTCATATCCTCCGATAACTAAAGGCCTTCCTCCTCACTCTGAACCACCGGCCAATCTTTATGTCATCTGCAAACTGACCAGTCAATCCTTCCACATTCTCATCTACATCATTTATGAATATCACAGAAAATAAGGGACCCAGCGCTGCTCCCTGTGGTATGCATGACACACCTGGCTCCATTCACTCAAACAGCTGTCTACCATCACTCTCTATCTCCTGTCCCTAGGCTAGTTTTGAATAGTTTGTCCCTGACATTCCAGCTGCATCAGGCACTATTTGGAATGCATAGGAGCTTCCCAGTTTACAAGCATTGCACTTTCAAAAACATATGTGTGATTAGATTGCTGATACAAGCTCCCACAGTGCTGGCCACGTTTTCGTAAACTGTCCCTTACAGCTAGACAGTTTTGGATATTTCTTCTTCCAAAAAGAAACTAAAGAATAGTTTTTAAATCTCATGAATAGGAGTGAAAACAAAACCAAAATAAATCCTATTTGAGGAATGTCAGAAATGCCATCTATTTATTGCTTGCATGAGAACTTAGTTTTATTCTCTCACAGGACATGGGTGTCATTGACTGGCCAGCATTTATTGCCCATTCCACAAAATATCATCACCATGCACAAAGACCCTCTGAGCATTCTCAAACCAATACTGGAAACAGTGGACAGGCTAATAGCCATGTTCAGATAACGTCACCAACTGAGAAAGCTGCATATTTCAACGGCACATACTATGCAAAAGAAGTGCCTATGTGTAAAAACATCTTCAGATTGATTTTTGGGAGATAGAATTAAATATAAATGTAAGATAATTGAATCATATAAACATGTAGTACAAAAGAGGCCACCTGACCCATTGTGTATGTGACGACTGTTTAAAAACCCAGTTATGCTTAGACCCATAACATTGCTTTTTGTCCACAAACCTGCAAGTCACACTTCCTCAATGACAAGTACGAATCCCTTTTAAAATCATTTATGCAATCAACTTCTGCCATCTTTCTAGGTAAAGAGCTTCAGATCACAATAACTGTGAAATGAAATAAATTATTTTCATCTCTCCTTTAGATTCCACTAGCAGCAACAGTAATGATTTGATGTGATTTGATTTATTATTGTCACATTGTACCCAGATACAGTGAAAAGTATGGTATTGCATGTGAACCAGATAAATTATATCTTACATAAGTACATCAGTGTAATAGAATACAATGCAAAATATAGTGTCATAGCTGCAGAGAAGTTACAAAGAAAGATCAACTAATATATGACAGGTCCATTCATAAGTTTGATAACAGTGGGGAAGAAGTTGTTCTTAAATCTGTTAGTATGTATTTTGAAACTTTTGTAGCTTCTACCCAATGAAAGAGGCACCTGGCTGGGAGGGGTCTTTGATTATGTTGACTGCTTTCCCAAGGCAGTGGGAAGTACAACAATTACTGTAAAATGATTGGGGAATCCAGAGTTGTTTTTAGTTGAAGGACTTTAAAGAGTTAGTATCAATCCTAAAGGAATAAATTATACTCTTTGGATAAGAAATATTGGTCTGTGAAAGGAAGAAAGTTAATATACAACTGCTGTGTGGCACATAGACACCATAAACAAAGTCAAGAGAACTGCTGATAGTGAAGAAGGTTCTGGAAAGAAGAGCTCTATTTTGGGGAAGATTGCACAGGTGGAATCCCATTTCTGCACTGCTTGGAGGATTGGTTAGGCTGCCAACATCATCAAAGACCTATCCCACCCCAGTAATGCTCTCTTATAATCTCTTCCGTCAGGCAGAAGATGCAGAAGCTTGAACACGTGCACCTGCAGATTCAAGAACAGCTTCTTCCCTGCCATTATTTGACTGATGAATGGGCTCTAACTTCAAGTAATGTTGATCTTGTTAATGTTGATCTTGCCTAGCGCAGACACCCTGTGCGGTGCATCCTGTATGCCTTACTCTGCCCAAGATTTTTTTTTCATCCTATGATCTGTATGTCCTTGCTTACAATGATTTGCCTGTACTGCTCACAAACAAAGGTTTTCACTGTCCTTAGGTACATGTAACAATAAATCAAATCAAATCAAGAACATGGAATTAAGTTCTGTTTGGAGAAACTGTGTGGCTGAAACCAGGACCATATGGGAGAGTGGACTGCCTAAAACCTGAATAAGCCAAAAAAAACAGGTACAACAATGACTATGTGGTGAATTTTCCCACTTGCATTTGTTTGCAAGTGAGTTTCATAGTGTCCAGTCTGTCATGCTCTGGGGCACATTTTCCTCACAACTTTCCATGTTTCCCCACATTAATTAGGCAATCAAGCTGTTAGGCACATTGCTTAAGACAATCCACCAGGAACTTATAGTAACTCTGCCACTGCACATGCTCCTTATCAAGATTCATGGAGTACAGCTTGCAGTATCGAATGCATCATGACCACTCGGGGGCTCACAGCCACCTCATGTTCACAAATTACTGACCCGTCCTGCACTCTGTGCTTCCTATTCACTCAGTGGAAACACTCAACCAGCTCTCCTGCGCACATATGACCACTAAATGTTCTCGCATCCACTTCCAACATTCTCAGTCCTTCCTTTTTTCTCATTGCAAGTAAAACTGGCCAACTCCTTGAACTGATGTCTCCATAGCACCCTGCCTGACCTAGCTCCTATCCTTGAGCTGCTTGCACTTGACCTGCAGGACTTACTATTACTATGTCGTGTCATCGGCCAAAGCTCATGTCTGACGATGACAGTAACCCCCGACTGACCGCAGTCCTGCTTCACTTGACTGAGGACTCTTCCCCTTTGACTTTCACACATTGCCATTTTCTTCTGCTGTTTGCCAGACAGGTTTCTGGAATATGCTGTGCTCTAACATTCATTTAGCATGGGGGTCAAACAACACCGTATCCAGCCCCTGTCTGACCGACAGATTGACTATTCTGTGCCCCCCCAATTGTCACAAGCTACCTGTCCTCCCTCACTAAAAAGCAAGCTAAACCAAAAGAGCCTGTAATACAGTG